TTATCTTTGAACAAGGAAATAACCTGGCATATGTAGTTCTCAAACTAAAATCTCAGTCAAGCACTGTAATTTTTTGTCATTTTATACACATATATATATAAATTTATATAAATAAATTTTAAACTAACAACTTCATTTAAGAACTATGTAAATTAGCATTTGTTATAAAAGAAATACTCAGATTTTTTGTAAAAAAAAAAATCTTGAAAAACATTGCATACGAAGGTTGACAAATGCTAGGTCATTTGTTGAGTGTTCAGATTTGTATAACATATATATATGTATATTTTTATATCATAATGAAAATGGGTGTTTATGCTCTTGTAACCTGAAATTATTATTATTATTGAAATATTTAATATTTGTACTTCTTGTGCAATAATTCATAGAAGAACATCTTCAGAAAACAAACATTAAGCCAACTCTGTATTTAACTTATTTATTGATAAGTGCATAGAGTATTCTGGAATATGCATCTGCCTTATGTGTTTAAAGTCTGGAAGATCAGAAAAACATAATGAAAAATGTAATAATAACTGAATTTCAATTAAGATATCTTTGTAAAAAAAACATACATACATGAAATTATGGTATCCAAAATTTAATGTATGTCTTTTAAGGGACTATTGTAAAAAAAAAATGTTTTTTGTTTGTGCAGGCATTTTACATTTAAACTCATAATTTTTCTCTCTTTAAAATTGACAAATTTCTGTTTCATTCTGTTAGATTTTTGTTCAAGTTGTTATTCTATTCATCTGGTGTTTAAAGATGATGAAAGTGTGAATCTCTATAACTTCTTTTTACATATATATATTTTCAAAGGAAGAAGTGCAGTGTATGGTATGATTGTGTGTGTGTTTAAATATGTACAATTTCACCTTAATCTTGTAACTTGTAAGAATAAATGCCAACTGTGTAATTCAAAGACAGTAAAACAAGTGTTTGCTGTACTGAAGGGGTGTAGAAAAAGTAAAAGATTAAGCCCAAGATTGAATAGTTTAATAATTTTGGAATTAACTGTGTATTTGTAATGATTTAATCAAATATGTAAAATTTGCTTTGCTTCTTAGGACAAAGTCCATGATATAGTACATGGTAATTCACTGGAGGTGTTGTGCACCTTTATATTTCTTCCTTTTGTTGCTAAGGATATTTATATTTGCATTTTAGAACTGCAGTTAATACCAATTTGCTATAGTTATTATAGCTAGTTTATTATTGTTTAATTTGATAGCATATTTGTACATATTTTTAATAAAAATAAAGGTGATCTGTATTTTATATTGTTTGTTTGAAAACGTATGTATTGATGATTATATGGAAATGTTTGAATTTACAAATGTAAAAGTAAACTAACATTTAACAGTGTTTCACCCAGACAAGTGGAAGGTTCATATTGTTGCTTTTTTGTTTAGTATTTAATATTATTTGGTGTTAAGAAGGTCACAGTTTTTGCCTGCTGTGCTTCATACCATATTCATACACATCAGTATTTTATAGGAAGTTTGGATTTATTTATTATTCACATTTTGAGAATTAGCCTGTTACAAAATGGGGAAGAAAAACAAAATACAGTCAAAACCTGTAGAAATAGAATAGTATAAGATGGAATAACAGGGCCAAAGTGGTTTGTATGATGCTATAAGGCTATTTTACCATGTCTCTTTTTTTTTTAAGAATATCTACTCAAATTTCAATATGTGAGGGCTCTTAATTGAGCCTTCAGTTCACTAAGTATTTGAATAATTAATCTATGATTAGCCATGGCAAGACAAGAACAGACCGTTTCAGCTATAAAATTTGGTCTTTCTCCTTTTACAAGTCTACTTAGTGCTGTTTGTGCTAATTTTTTATTATTCCATACTAATCTGAATAATCTAAGGTAAGCTATATTTTCCTATTACATCTTGTTTAAAACATTCGTGAGCTAATAATAAAATATCTAAGATATTCAGTATTGTTTTAAGAGCATTGGATCGGTAGTGGTCAAGTGTTTAGTGTACCCAAACTGCGAATCTAAGGAGTTCATGGTTCACAACCTTTTACCATAAAAAAAAAAAGTGTTCTATACACTGGGAACATGGTTGCACTATAAGATTGATTGTTAAATCCCACTTTTCAGCCAGGCAAGAGTTGACAGTAGGATATGTGCACTTAATCCTTGTGTAGGTTTTAGCGACTTTTTAAGTACAGCAAAAATTTTAAGACGATCGATTTTAAAGTCACAATATTCATTGTTTAAAAAATACAAAACACGTGTTTGAAAAAAAATGGAAAATGTCATGATTTCCACACAATAATCCATTTAAAACGAATACTTCAGGTTCTTTGTGTTACTCAAGCATATAATATTTACATTAAAGATTACCTGTCTAGGTTATTATTGTGTGAAATAATACCCAAGTCATTTTAATTTTGTGAAGCAGCTTGAAGTAAATACTGTTTGTAAAAGTGTTAAATGCTTAAATTTTTTTTTGAAACGTAACAATTTTACTATTTGTGCATAATACGGAAGGTTGAGTACATTAAATCAACACGACCAAATATGCCAAGTAAGTCGCTTGTTTTTGAAGGTAGCCCTTTTTGCCCACAAATATTCGCACAATCTGATTGTAAAGATGTGTTCGCATCGGGAATTTAGACTTTCCAAGATGTAGTTATCCTTTGTTTTTAATGACGCTAGAAATTGACTTTCACAAATTTAAGAATTAGCTTTTCAGAGCGGCACTGTCTGAGGAAGGAAATATCGTTGATGATGACAAACCTTGTCGAACGTTGTACATTTGCTGTTATGTTAAACTTGTATTAAAGTTTTTCTTCATTACCGATTCAAGCCGTCTCCAACCATTATTAGTCTCAAAGTGGGTTCCTCGTCATTGAAAAGGAATTTGAATCAGTTTGGGGTACCAGTATCATCCAGAAAGAGGCCTGCAACATATCCAGCCATGGAAAGCAACCTGTGGCAGGTGAAAATCCAATAACACAAAGTTCATTGACAAAATGAACAGTACACAACATAATAAAGAAGAATTTTCTTTATATAAAAAAAGCGATACAAGTTGCTTCCACAGCACGTCCGTTCAAGCATTTAATACCTCAAGTAGCTGGAGAATGAAATGGGTATTCATGCTATTCCATATGCATATGCATCGGTCAAAATGTATGCGGCCTTGTTGGTAACTCCTCTTAGTCGTGAAAATGCATGAGTTGGAAATACTTCAATTTTGTGTTAAAATAAACAAAACGTTCTCCAATTACAGTGTTTGTTTTGTATTATTTTATTTTTATGACTGATGATTTCCAT